TCAATATAGGGGGGAAAGTTGCTCCATATTCTATTTTTGATCTCTGGGATGGAAAAAAAATCTGCATTATAGACCTACACCATAAAGCCCTGATGGCACTATTGTTAAGTGCTAGGCTGCTAACCAAAGGTCAGGAGTTCAAACCCACCAGTCACTCCACAGAATAAAAGACCTGGTAAAATCTGCTTTCTAAAGATTTACAGCCTATAGCAAACCCTAGGGGCAGGGCAGTTCTACTTTGTCCTAGAGTCACTAGGACACAGCACACAACCAAAACATCAACACACTCCTATGTAGCCAGAGACACTTAGAACAATTTTGTTCATTCAGAGTCACAAAGAAATCTTATAAGTATTCCAATTTTTTACTTTAAAAGCATCCAATTTATAAATATTAGAGGGCTTTACAGTGTAAAGTCAGAAGTATTAAGCATCAATGAATTCAACAAGCCTTTAGAATCCCTTTCTCATTCCTAGAGCTTTGGGGTGAGAAGCACCAATCTGAATTCATTCATTAACAATAGTGGTACTATTAGGAACAGGTTTGGGGTTCAGAAGTGAATGCTGGCAAAAGTCTTCAGGAAAGTAGATTTTATGATAGCTACGATAATGGATTTAGGGGTTCCTGGAGAATCCCTTCACCTGTTTTATATGATGCCATTTTGCTTATAATCAACAGAATTTATACGGCAATAGGATTATGGAGGAATCCTGGTGTGGCACTATGGGTTAATGCACCGGACTGCAAAGCTGTTGGAACTACAAGGTCAATGGTTCAAGCTCACCAGATGCTCCTTGGAAACCCTACACAGGGTCGCTATGGGTACTTAACAACAAAAAGGGTTATGGAGTCATGGTGTGGCACTGCTGGATAAGTGCTGTACTGCTAACCGCAAAGTTGGTGGTTCAAACCCACCAGCCGCTCCTTAGAAATCCTATAAACAGTTGCTATGAATTGAAACTGACTCGATGGCACTTAATAACAGGGTTATGAAAGGAGCACGGTGGCACCGTAGATAAGCACTGGACTGTGAACCACAAGGTTGGCAGTTTAAGTCTTATCAGTTGCTCTGAAGGACAAAAATGAGGATTTACGACCATACAGCCTTAGAAACCCTACAAAGGGTTGCTAGGAGTCGGTACCAACTTGATAGCACACAAGAATAAGGATTATTAAATTATGACGACTACAAAAAGGAATCAGACAGAACCTGCAGCATACCTGGTAGACTGTGCTTCATGAGATAACACTCCTTAGAATTTAAAAACCATTCTTCACCATGGCACAGAATGGATGTACACGTTTTAAGATGTATATAAATATGTGTAGCTAGGCAAATTGAACAGACTATGATTTAATTCATTTCTGAAAGGGAAGTGACTTTCAGTTTGCAGACAAACATTTTGATTTATGTATGAAGAAAAGCAAACCCCTGAGACAGAAGAGAGGAAAATCAGTCTCTACTTTTGAGGGCTGTGGCCTGTGTAAGGTTGTGAATGTCAGTGACCAGCAGGAGCATGCATTCCAGAAATGGGACAAAATGGGAGGGGAAACCGGGGCCTGGAAACAGGAAAACAACAAATATTGTACTTCTAATGAAAAAATTAAGAGTTTTGAAATGTGGTAACACAATCTTAATTGCTTACTAATCACCTTTACCATATAATATCCTTTACCCTGCCAACTTTATAAAGAAAAATTCTAACTGCAAAAACGAGGTTAAGTATCTGACTATATTGTGAAACAAAATGGAGTAAAATTTAAAAATGTATCACTCTCTTGACTACAGGATAAGACACAATTATCAAGCTGAGCTAAGAGAATGCTCAATAGTCATTTCAAACGAAATGTAGATTCATAGTACACATTCCCTTTGTACACATTACTTAGTATTCATGAACTTTATGAAGGAATATGCAAACCTGAAGAAAAAGTGAAGTCATGGACATTAGAAGTGTTTTCCACAGTCAACTTAGCTCTTAGAAACAATCACTTGCAAAGGCTATCTGAGTGTCACAAACAAGCAACATGTATATACTGCAATTTTATTTCAATCGCACAAATGAAGTTAGCGTGTAGGAAATTTAAATGAAACAGTATGGTAAAAATAGCAGAAAAGTGAAGGGAAAAAAAAAAAATCTTCAAAGGAAGTACACCTAAAGCATGAAAATTCAACATTCATTAATGTTTCATCTTCAGTTTTGATTGACACTTGATGCTTGCAAATTTTTTTAACAAACTTTTAAATCATGATGACTACTCTGAAGAGATTTCAGCACCAGCACTAAGATTTGTACATTCAGTTTGTTTGCAATTGACTTGTTAGCCATTTACATAGTGTATAGTACAGATTTGTCACAGATCAGATCACAGTGTTGAGGAAAGCAGTACCTTGCTGTAATTAGAAAGGATCCCCTAAACTGGACTCAGCTTAAGACATCCAATGTACAAAAGCACAAAAACCATCATAATAATGTAGCTCCAAGGAACATAGTTTTGATAATAAGGAAAATAACATAAGCTTCTGTTTTCCATTTTAATTACTGAAATCTCTAAAAATGACACAAACTGTCATGTGTGACAGCAAATGTATACAGTAATTCAATTAAACTTCTTGGGAAGAACACAGTAACAACCTGGGATACTTAGGCAAATGATGGAAAATATAGTATGATTCAACACTGGTTCTTTTTTGTCATTTTACACAGACATCATGTAAATATAGACCAAGGCACGAAACGTCTAGTGCAGAAACCAGTTTCTTTTAAGATCTAGCATTTGAGTCTTTTAACTTTGGACCAGTTGTACCCAGTACTCTATCCTACTAGAAACAATTTAACTTAACCAACAAAGTCAGAAGTGATTCCTGACCAGATTTATAGGGGACATAAATGTTCATATGGTCAAAGTGTTTTACATCCAAAAGTATAAGAATAAAGATGAAAATGCCTCCTATTTCTTTTCAAGCATAGTACCTCATAAGCTTGCTGCAATTTTAATTCTTTGACTAGTACTGTGTGACAATGAATAGTTGCTAGAAAAAAGAACTATATATTTGAATTATGATAGCTTGTCCATCACAGTTGAATCTGAAGATGAAGTTTCTACAGAAACAGGAACTATCTTAACAAGTAAAAAAATTCCCCTCATTCCAATCTCTCTGTGAAGTGGTAACAGCTGTAATCCTGCACATTCAGAAAACTATGCTAGCAGCAAGCTTTTGTCTAATGAACCAAGATGAAAGAAATCTAGGAAGCCAATGAAAATCAACAAATGCTTCAAAATTTTAGTAAAACTTTGATAATAAAGATTTCAAAGCAATTATGGCACTTATAACAACTCAAGCATAAATCAAGATGGAGAGTCTGGAGAATTTTTGATTTGCTAAATATTTCCAAAAAGCTCTAACTGCAACATACAGTATTTTAATCTTGACCAGTTTCAAAGAAAAGAAAAGGGAGCAGATCACGTACACATACATCCATGTCAGGCGCGCACGCGCGCGCACACACACACACACGGTGGCAAGTAGAGTATCTTATTCCTTCTTCCCACCACCTACGTCTCACTTTCTCCATTAAAAAAAAAGAAAAAGAAAAAATGATGCAGAACTCCTCATTGGTCTTCCTTTACTTAATGATTTCTGTGACTTTAATTGCTATTATCATTGTTATTTCTTGCATTTCAAAATAACAACGTTCAAGAAGCAGCTTCAGTCATGAGCATGTAGTTGGACGCTTGTATAATCGCATGGGCACGGAGGTAATACTACCTGCCTAATTCAGTGATCAAACTTCTGAGTTCCACAACAAGATCTAACTTCCTGTGAAGCTCAGGATCATGTCTCAGATTGTTGAGATTACTAAAGTGAAAATACAAATAGCTAAAGACATGGTGTAAAAGGTTAAGTACTTGGTTCTGTGAACCTGTTTACCAATTAAAGTCACAAAGTATTCATCATTATTATCCATGCAGGTAACTGAACAAAAGGTAGTGCAGAAATCAACTTTAAATAAAAAGTTATTCCTCCCTCCCTCCCATCCCCTAGACTCTACACATTGTTTTCCCTGGGACTAGGCCTTGAAAATCCTGCTACATATTAGTATGTCATGCATCACGGTCTGCAATTAAAAAAGCAAATTTTGTGGTGGTTGTAATTACATTATAAAAATGTCCACATGCATAAGTCTAAAAAAAGGTTGAAAACCTACAATAAATCTACAATATACCGTTTTACATTTGACCACTGGTTTGTGTTATATAGGAGTCGTAGATTTGGTAAAGCATTGTAACAATTTAGGAAGGCAGCTATATCTTTCAATTCTGGATGGATTTTATGTTTTAATCTACAAAATTGCATGAAGGCTAACTTGAGAGGACTTCCCATCATTCTCAAGTTCTCCAAGCCAAACACATAATTTTCAGGACACTTTCTTATAAATATTTCACCCTTTGAAAACACACACAATTCCATTTGTTCCGCATTTTATGATCTTAACCTATACAGGGCTGATCTATTATTCATGGAATATCAAATATGATAGGAAGACAAACCTGAGAGAAACATTTACAATACAATTAGCATAACTTGCTAAATTTCTTCATCAGCACTCTCTGAGGAAACAAAAAAACTTTTTTAAGCCTTTCTCCTCTTTATTTTAGCAATGGATTGTGGAAAATGTGCAATTTTATCTTGACATGAAAATATTTTAGTGGACTGTGATCTTGCCTGATGGGGATAGTATTTTCTGCATAACTGTTACAGGAACTGTCTTCCATCCTGTTGTAAAGGTCAGAAAGAAGCAGCAATCTAGAAGGGAAATAGCTTATCGCCAGAGTGAAGGCTTTCAAAATCAGTTGGTTTTTCCCTCTTTCCAACTGTTTGTCTCCATGTTCTTCTTACAGCTCATGAAATGTGGGGGGTTTGTAGTTGCTGTTGCAGTTTTTGTTTCTGGGTATTTCTTTTCTCCAGATTAAAGTCCTCTCCTTAGTTTGTTTCTCTATGCAGTATTTGACTTGCTCAGTTCCTGTCTGATTGCTGGGTAGAGAAGAAAAAGCATTGAAAGTAAATACCATGATAATGAATGAAACATTCTTAAAGAAGCTTAATAAAGGGACACTATTTCTATGTATGTGTATTAATTTACTTACCCTTGGGTACAATGTGAAAACATCAATTCTGTGGGCTAAACACCAAGGCAGTGGGATAGATGTGCAAAGGTGACCTTCAGAATTCAGAAAGATCTGTTCATCTGGTCTTCCCTCTAACACTACTCTAAACCTAGAATGTTTATCCCTATTCTTACATATAACCTCCATTATTGTATTTTCATGAAAACAACACATTAGGCGGCTTTTTGCAAACCGCTCAGTCTTTGACATGCTCGTTTTACAAGCGCTATACGCGTTACATGTGTGCATTAATAAAAACCCATGATACATGAAGTAGAGAGTTATTCCTGACACCAGATGCGAATTGCAGAACAGGATACTCTCAGAAAATAATTGCTTTATGCTCAAGTAAGAAACTGGGTATTTCTTAACTTACTGACAGTGTTTTAAAGTGGTTATTCCTAAACATTATTTTAAAGAAATAGCAAATGTAATAGATACTTACCATCTATGAGCTCTTCTTTCAGTTTTGTTAATTCTTTTCTCATTTCATCTAAAATATCCTAAAATATTAGGAAAAAAGGAATCAGAAACACAGAAAAGCAAGTTACTGCTAAAAAAAGCTTATTCCTGTCATAAAATTTTAAAAATGTCTTTTGCTTCCAGAGTCCTAAAAAGACTAGGCCTTACCCCCAGCTGGTGGGACTGTAAAACAGTGCAACCATTGTGGAAAACAGTATTGCACTGCCTTAAAAAGTCAGAAGTAGAAAGAGCACATGATCCAGTAATACCATTACTAGGAATATAACCTAGTGACATGAACAGATACATGCACACCCATATCTATCATAGCATTATTCACAACAACAAAAAGACAGAAACAGACTAAGTTGCCCATCAACGGATGACTGGATAAATAATGGTACATTCATTAAACAATAACAATGAATCTGTGAAATACCTCTTAATATGGATGAACCTAGAGGACATTATGGTAAGTGAAATTAGTCAATCACAAAAGAATGAACAACAATAAAAAAAAGGGCCCTAAATGTTAAGACAGGATTCACACAGGTAGAGACTAGCCCTGGTAAATGTTATCGGTCATCCCTCCATATAAACCTTATCTTTACTTATTCTAAACTACCAAGATGTAAAACAGAACACTTTCTGAACCAATTACTTATTATCAACCAGTGAAAGGTGTGACTCAGATACTTCCCACAAAAGTTAACAGCCTCCTTCCTTTTAATCTCTCCTCTGGTACCAGCCTGCGAGGTGATGCATAAAGAAGTTGCAAGGAAGAAGGATAAATTCAACAGACAGCTCTTGGGAAATTTGTCATCTGATTTGAAGGATTGGGTTAATCATTAAACTGAAGTTTAGAATTAAAAAGATGCTTAAGGGATCATAGTTTTCAAATTATGCTTCAAGATTTGTAGGATTTTTTTAGCAGGGCTGCAAGGGCTGCCCTCTTGAGTTGAGATGCACGGGAAAGTCCCTTCTGCAGCTGGCTACGCTGTCCACTACAGAAGTTCCAGCCTGATACGTGGCTAGTCTGAAATATGCTGGAACCAGATGATACAGACTTAGTATGAAGAAAATAATGTAAAATTATCTCATTAATAATTTAAAAATATTGATTATATATCAAAATATTGCTTTGGACAAACTGGGTTAAATAAAAGAATACAACTAATTTCATCTGTTTCTTCATACTTTTAAGTTGTGAGTACCTGGAAAATCTAATTATTTATGTGACCTATATTACATCGCTTTAGAACAGTAATATTCTAGACTCTCCTCCATCAATAAAAACCACTCTATATTCTGCATAATCTTTACTTGTAAATACAACTGGAAATAACAGACACACCCTCAACAGAAATTTATCAAGATTTGGGTAATATTAAAATTATGTGATTTCCTGAAATATTACAAACCTCTGACAAAATTAAATTGTTTTCTGTTGAGATCTGTTTAAAATAAGGTTTTCATATTTAAATAAGGTTGAAACAATCATACATGAAAATAAGGCTGGATCTAGCAATAAGTATAATTACTCTATTTATCAATGAGGAAACTGAGGAGCACATATTATATGGACTCTAAAATGTACAGATACCCTTATTCAAATGAAATCTAAAATCATTCTAAAAACCAAAATCTACTATCTTCTCCATTACTTCAGATATCAAGAATTTATCATATTTTAAAATGTGTTCAAATGTGTTGGTTTAATGCTTATTTTTCCATGAAGTCAGTATTTGGTACAAAGGAAAACAACAGCTTATCAGTCACCACAGCTTCCTTTAAAACTCAAGTTTCTTAGAAAATAAACATTTTTAAATTAAAAAACCATTAAAAGCTTAGAGACAGTCATATCATCGAACACCATTGTCAACCAAATTGGAATCAGTGATGACAATCTCCAAACAGCAATGTTCACATAACTCAATTAGACTTTTTAAGTAGTTTTAGCCTTTTTAGTTAGTTTTATACTATAGAAGTCAAGTTAATCTGAAATTATTGCTAGTATTTCTCTAATTTTACATATAACTTCTATTTTGAATTCCTATTATTGCTTTACTTTTGGTCTCTTTTTGAGCCCCAGTTAAGACATTTGTAAGCATTTTAAAAAATGAGTCATAGAATGGGAAAAGCATGGATGGGAGTTTTGAAAGCAGATCTAGGTTCTGATTCTGACTCAACTCCTACTTAGTTTGGGACTCACAAGTGTCTGACCTATAGGTATACAGAATTTATGTATAAGCAGTATATTACAAAAAAATTATGAGGAGCCAGGGACAATGCCATGCTAAGAAACTTTCAAATGCCTGGCAATGAAGTCTATCATATACTCAGTAAATTAAAATTTAATTACTACATTAATATTTATATATTTACACACTATATTTATTTTCTGAGGTTATCCTAAAGTTGTTCAGTGTAAGATGAAAATGTTCACTGACCCACCTATCACATCGATGACAGCTTTCAATTTCAAAAATTTTTAAGACTTTTAATTTAAAAATTCATCACCATTTTAGAAATACAATTTTTTAGAGCTCACAATCTCATCACCTATAACCACTATTAATCTCTGCACTCTTTTTTTGAGCATCGGTCATTAAATCTAAGGAATATGCAGCCTTCAAAATATGGACAGTATCTTTCTCTTTTTCAAACACTGAGCTAACTGTACAAATTGCTTTGTTACCTAACTTGGCAAAGTGTTCACAAATCCTTGTTATAATAGTCTCAGTCATCATTTCTGGATGGCTACAGAGAGCTTCCAACTGCAACACTACATGTGGTGGTTGTCAGCTGCCGATTCTGACTCTTAGTGACCCCATGTATGCAGAGAAGAAATGTTCCAGAGAGCTTTCAAGGCTTTTGACCTTTCAGAAGCAGATCACGAACCTTGACTCTGAAACACATCTGGATGGGTTCAAACCAATCTTATGGCTAGTAGCCAAACATGTAACTGTTTGCACCACCCAGGAATGCCTTATGTGTAACTGTATGTGTCTATATTATTCTCTAAGAATAAATTCCTGAAAATGAATTTTATGGATTCAGGCAAGAAAGTTTAAGACTTGAATTGTTTCCCCACACCATCCATTAGAAAGCACTACTACCATACAAGAGTGTCTATTCTGTAACATTCTTTTTTTTTTTTAAATGTTTTATTGTCAATTATATGATAGTTTACATGGGAGAACCTCAGTTCCATATTAATTCCATTGTTTATCATTACATTGCCATGGTTCCAATCCTCTCCATGCATCGTCGTCCGACCAAAGGAAATATCCTAGAAGCCCGTGCTCTACACTCCCCACTCCCCCCTCAGTCTTCGGCCCACAGTTCCTCTCCCTCTCTGGATACAAAATCCCCAGCCGCTTCATCCCTCCATGTCATCATCTCTGTCTCCATCTCAGGCATTCCTGGTTCTCTGCTCTTATCCGTTGGTGGTCCCAGAGACCTCCGCTCCTAGACTGGAGAAATAATCGCTCTCTTCCTTGCTACAAAACATCTACCCTTGCATTTCCAACACTCACAATCCGTCTTGATAACCATTATTCACTACAGTATCGCACGTAACCCATCTGTATTTCATTTCATCAGCTCCACCTAGACAAACTGGATAGTGCTCACTGGTGATTCTGCCTTCCTCCATGTCCCCTAGCTCTAGGTTCCCTCTTGAAAGCTTGTAAGCCAGTTACTTCTTGCCTTTGTAGTCCCTCCCTCCCCATTTGGGTATCCAATGTCTAAGTTGCCCCTCTCAGTCTACTCTGTGTGTGGAAGGGGTGGGAATGTTTCTTGCTGTAAGGATTTATCACCTCCTTTGTGTCACTGCATTTGTATGCATATGTCAAGTTCATCAGCTTGGATCAGCTCAATCTTCTTTCCCCACTCCACCCCACCCTTTCTTTCTTCTGGTTGAGCTCTGATCATCCAGTCATCCAGTCCCGGTCACATGGGTGTCATCTGCAAGTGTGGGTGTTCTTGTGCACATGCCCTCTCTTCCCATCAGCCAGCAGTTCCATTCTCCA